AGATATTTGTTGGGTGGGATTGAGTTCCACCCCAATCCCCCTGCAGCGTAAACTGAGACGCCGCCCTCGAGGCAATATATTTGCACAGCTGCTGATTCCAGATCCAGTTTGCAGAGATCGCCTAGCAAAGCTTCCCACTGTCCAAATTTCCTCTCCAGCATCTCACCCGTTTCTTTTCTCTTGGGAAGAAAAAATGGCACCGTGGTGGATCTGCTTCCTCCTTTTTGCCAGTCTCTCAAAAACATCTCTCCAGGAAAGTGAGTATCTATCTATCTATCTATCTATCTATCTATCTATCTATCTATCTATCTATCTATCCGATTTAGATAGCCACCCATCTCCAGGCAAGACTTAAAACCCTCTTGCAGCGTGAAAGATTGTGCGCTGCCCAACTGGGCTATTTTATTTGTCGGTCGGGGACTCAGCAGAAGCTTTTTTTTCTGCCTGAGAATGCTGGATGTCACTGCAGAAGAGTACTTCTGAGCACGAACAGAGTATGATTTTCTGCTGGAAACACAGTTTATCCTCGTGCTTATCTGGGATGAAGAGCCACGATTTTAACTCAGAGGCAGGCACTTCAAACCATAGTGGGTTTGAGTCCCCCTATTTCTCTGTTAAGATATAGGCAACACGGCTACTAGAAGAACCAAGATCAGCTTCCTGTTCTGCTTGCTATAACAATGTTTTAATAGTAAACGCAGGTCTGGGAAGTAATCTTGAAGTAGCTCCAAGATTATTTCCTGCTTCAAGATCGCCACTGACAGATGGTCCATCTCTAAGAATCTCTCTCTAGGATCAAGATGTTTCTCCTGATGTTCCGTCCATAACATCTACCATAAAATTCTCCTGATCTGGGTCTCTTCTGACCTGGAAGGCCAACTCCACCGCCTTCCAGAAAAATAGAAGGCTATGCAAGAGATGATGAAGGCACTGTGTGAGTCAGATCAAACACTCTTTCCCAAACCAGCCTCTGAGAAACTTGCAAATGAGAGACCATTTGGATTTTAATCGTGAGCCACCCAGAGTCACCCTCTGGGGGAGATGGGCGGCATATACATTTAATAAATAAATAATAAATAATTTGGGGGGAAATGCGATTCAAAGGTAGGATGGAAAATCCACAGAGATGCGATTTCCATCGGTTTCTGTATTCTGGGCGTAAGGACCCATCCTTTTCTAGCCAAAAGGGTATTAGCAGGAATTTCACCATTTGAAAAATAGCAAATCTTCAAAAACAGTGGAATGGTTTATATGGGGGTGGGGGCGGGAGACAGGATAATTGGATGGAGGGGTATATTTTCACGCAGAGTGGGAAGCATTCAACTTCAGTGGGTAAATGCAGATCTTCAGACTCCTCATATATGACTTCTAAACTTTGTCCCTTTCCTCTAAACCGGGCTCGCTCATTATCTGGCTTGGTTATTAAATATTATTTGCTCCATATATTGCTTCTGCCATCCAGTTGGAACAGTGTTTCTCAACCTTGGCAGCTTGAAGATGGGTGGACTT